TTAGGATCTTCCAGCGTCTGCCTTAATAAAGAACTGACCAGAAGATAGTTGAGGGACCGCTCCCCAATTTATGGTGCACCCGTGATTCATTCTACTCAGAGCGGGCTTTTTTACTTGAAAATGATCCACACTCCAACCACTTCGTGAATGGCAATCTCGATGCTCCACCCGACGCCACTGAAAAGGAATCTGTACATACTGGCTTTCATTTGCTGAAGCGCCCCTGATGAGACAAGGCACGAGTTTAAAGGAGAATTCACGATTAGAATGAAGGTCGAAGAAAGGGAAACTGACCTAGTTGAGGGACCCACGGACCTCCTGAGGGTGCGAACTGACGCGCAATTCGCATGGAAAAATTTGACCTCGGCGACCTATCATGCCTCAAAGCTGGCGGGTCCGGCGATCTCCGCCCACCGATCATCTGATCACTCGCCGTAGTTCAATACGTGGCGAGTGATTAGATAGCTGAGAGAGCGTAGTGTTGAAGAGGGCACAGCGATGAGAGTCGCATCAATGCTCAAATCAACGGGCAAGGAAGGGGTCCATTTCTCGGGTTCTGGGCCGTTTCTCATGGTTCTTCCTTCTTTCGTGTACCACTCACCATCCCTAGGTTAATTTGAAATGGGTTGCTTTTTCATCGTGAATTCGTCCTTTAAGGCAAGACTCGATACAGCTGTTGAAACTGGACATTGAGTTCGAATTTGACAATTTGGAGTTTGTATCTCACAGGCTCTGAGTCAGCTTCGAACACATTCTGGCTTCATATTCCCATCGATTTCCCGTGGTTCCTTCAATTTTCCATAACTAATGTACTGTCAAAGTTCTTATCTTGACCCTCAGCTCTAAAGGTGGAGAATGCAATGGAGTAGTCCCTATTCCTAACTCCAACTCCATTTTCACAGCCATTCACTTCTTGAGACATGGAATCAGTAGGGAGTTACATGTGCGGTCACTAAACAGCCAAACCAGCTCACACAAATGTGCAGGTATACAGTGAGCGACCATCAAAATTCATACAAGAACCACAGGTTTGTTAAGTGCGCAGCGTTAACTCTATATCCTCCGCAAAGCTTACGTACACTAGGTAAAAATGGCGTGAATCCATGTTGTCATCATCTTAAGTTCATCCATATTCATTTATTAACAAGTAAGTTAATATTGTAATAGCTCTAATTTTAAGCATCGACTCGGAACTCACCAACCTTGACTTAAACAGTGACCGATCATTATTGGATGTGGAGGAGCTTGTGAAGGTAATCTTCAAAAAAAATCAGTTTTCATATTTTTAATTAAGCTTTAGAGGTGAAAATCCCGGACTCCATCGAAAAATGAATTTGCATATCTTGAGTCGCAAATAACATCTGCTCAGCTTTCCTGTAGCGCAATTTCATCACCACAAATGTATTGACAAGGTCTTCTATTAAGAACGTTGTATCGTTGGTAAACGCAGTGATTGTTTTTTGGCTCCGATTGGGAGTTAGAATTTACCGTCCGTTGTGCAAAGATCAGCAAGGGGTCAATGTTTTTTCAATTTGTTCACGTTCCTTAATGATTAGTTTTATTGGGACTTGTAATACAACTATCTATGTACTCTGACCATATAGGCATGCGAGAGCTTTCTAGATATGAGAGGGGACTCCTACTTGAAAAGTTGTTTCGCAGCAACCCTAAGTGCAGATGGGACTAAAGGGTGTGCAAGAACAAATTGTGCTTGCGGGCCTGGGCCTGCATTGCTGGGGGTAGGGAATAGCTAACATCCGAATCCATGTTTGGGTTCCTTACATATACCTATTCTATCGATGAGGAGTGGCGTTCTCCCTTACACCACCCGTCCACTGAAGACTGAATGCTGTGATTGAATGTTTGTAATTGAAGGGATCGTTCCCGGAAAAATTCGCACTTCTTTTTCAACGCGCATGTGTCAGTTATTATCACTAGAGACAACATACAAAGTTTCACGCACAGAAGATTCTTTCCGAAGAGAAAAACAAACTCACGAAAACCACACTCTATGGACAATCGAAGGTAATCGCGCGGAGCCAAAGGCGGGCATGGAAAGAAGTCCGCCTTGGGGCGGCTACGTATCAGGCGACGCAATGAAAGAATCGGGTTAAAGCGTGCGATTTCGGAGAGTAGAGACAAATCGATCGATAGAATAGGATGCAGAAGTGTGAGATGTGAATGCAATAAGTCAGAAGGCCAGAAAGAGTTTCTAGTGAAGGCACTCCAAGAACCAAGTGGAAGCATTACCCGTCGCCAGCATTTGTGACCGACTCGCTTTCTCCCTGTATTAGAAGGGTAAACCCTTTGCCGTTGATCAATCCCTTTGGGATGCGGCACGCATTCTACTTCCATTTGTACATTCGTAGTGGCGTTTGAATGCGATGGCCTATACAATGACTTGCGGGGGCCAGCCGATGTACAAGTCAGTGTTTTTATCCTCCCAGACAAGTCTGGTACCAATTAACCGACCCCGGAGGGATGGAAGGCTTGGTTGGCCCGGGCGACTCACGACCCAGGATTTGATCCCCGGACCGCTCGCGTGGTAAGCGCGCCACTTGTCACTACACCACTTCCGCCCAATTCTGCCGATGCATTTGCTATATGACACCTTCTTTGTTTCTATTTTGTATGGAAGGAGGCTCTCAACCTTTTGGGAAAGGTGGCGGGTCTGTGAAGAATGGTCAGTTTCTCAGGGCTCAAACTAGCAGATATTATGATACATAAAAGTAAATGATAGATGAAAATGTTTAATATGTGAGATGAAAGAGAAGTTATGGTTTGTTGGGTAACATTTTCCCATAAGGCAGACAGAGTGTACGTAGCATTGGATGATATTGTCGCTCAACGGGTGATTAACACACTCAGCGACTAGTCCGCTGGAGCAATCCCTTCGATATGTGGATAGAGCTGTTAGCAAAGGACACAAACGTGTCGTGCTCATGGTTCGAAAGCGTCCGACAACAGCACTAGGGCTTTGTTTACTTCTCTTTTTCGGGACCGAAAATTTGACTTTATCTCGTCCATCCCAGTTGGGGGGGGGGTCTATGTGCCTTCTTGTTCATCGTTCTCGCTTGCTTTCTCTCCTCGACGCGCTCCCTTTTCCGTCATACAACGATCACCTTCATAAGTAAGAGTCGCTTAATTTCATTTCAGCAAAAAAAAATCTTGAACCTTTAACCCTTCGTACAAAAAATATGTCTTGCCGTTCCAATTATAAAGAGCGCTGGTTTGATGTGTCGGCTGGTCGGTCTTTCAGTGTGTATGTTACTGTCTCTGTGCATCCCTGATTTGCTCCGAAAATGGTAAAGAAATTGCTGGAAAGAATTCGCGGCTAACAGAGCCATGAAGCTGAGTCAACCGTTGGACCAATTTCGAGAAATTTTACGACCCCCCTCCCCTTCTAGAGGGCCTCGATACGACCCCCTCAGGGTTAACCCTTCACGACCATCCTCCACCACCCTCGCCTGCCATCGCCATCATGGGGCGATTCTATAGTATTTCATTCTGAGACCAGTCGACACAGCCCAACTCCGCCCACTTTTCCCTCTTTCCCTCCCAAACTGATTGCGCCGTCGAGCGGGGGAATCAGTTTGGGAGGGAATGTGAAACGGCAATTTTCGCGCTCAAAATGCCAGCCAACAACTATAATCCGCTCTCCCTTCCATAAAAAATCATCCCTTCCCTTACTGTAACATTAACGCTACCTCGCGAAATACGACCCCCCCCTCTTTTCCACCCCCAAATACGACCCCCCACCCCTCGTTGGACTTTGTCCAACGGACGGTTGACCCTGCTAAGGTCTTGCAGTATCAGCTCTTGTGGGGACATAATGGAGGCGACACCACCTACTGCTACCTGAACACTTACTGAGCCCAATCGGTCATTCTTGATGTTGCCGTCGTAATTGGAGGGTAACTGGAAGAGGGAAGGGTTAATGTCCCGCCACAAAGGTTTGGGCAAATCAGTGTTGAAGTCTCATCGTAAGGTTAGGCCATGATATCGTTATTCTCTTAGACACCCTATTTTCGCACACGCATTCAATTCGCAGGGTTTTGACCTCACAAGTGGAAGTCAGCATAGCAGAAGACGTGAAGTAGGGAGCGGTGGTGCCTACACAAAATTGGTGAAGCAATATTGGAGAAGTTGAACGGTCACTTCTATAACCAGATCAAGCTCTTCAACTCACTTTTAGGCGAATTATTGATATCAAGAGTTCCCTCCTTCTGGACTCAATTTATTTTACTGATTCAGAGCCGCACCTACGAAGTGTCTGAAGATCAGAAGAAGAAGGATGTGTCGTCGTGGCTCGATAAGCACTCCTAGTACGACATTTCATTATCAATGCTTAACGGATACAATGTTGTACACGTAGCGCAGTCATTCAGTACCGAAAAAGACATTGACAAACGTGGTAGCATTAGCCGAGGTGTGTGCTGCGATGGAGCTACATATACTGCTAATAAATATACTGATTCATGGGCCAAAAAGCCACGAAACCGCGCGCCTTCGGCAGCGTTCCGTTTGTGAAAGATCTTCATATAAAAAGCGAAGTTAGGATGAAGCTGCACTGCGCCTTTTCATGTTTATTTTGGGGCCCGCACAATTACAGCGCATACGCACACAATACGCCAAGGAAACTCGATAATTATAATTCAAAAGAAAAGATTGCTGCGACGCTGATTAGTGATTGAAATGCACGGCTAATCGAATCACTGAGCAGTAGCCTTTTTTACTTTTCCCACTTAACTTAGCTCGACGTTACTTATTGCTGAATGGTAAGAAGGAAGAAATTGAAGAGATTTGGTCAGAGGAAAAAGGATATTGCTAACGTATTGCATGAGTTTCTCACTATCACTATCACTATGACTCAGTTCTAAATAGAAAGGATGAAAGTAGGTGAGAGAAGGTACACTGCGACGCATAATTATAGTTCCACCTACAAATTTCCCAAAAACTTGAATCTGGGGATGTTTTTGAAAAGGCTCTACAGACAAATTGTGACACATATAAACGCGAATCTGAATATTAACACGGAAATCCAGTTTGAGAAAGCAACAATTTTTATCCTCATTTTTTCGAAAATACCCGCTTTGCCTATGACGCAAAATCATAGTTCCACCTCATGTTTCTCCGCTGCATTTTGCTTTTACCCAATCAAATTTTGAAATTATTACCCATTCAAGTTCCTTAGCTTATAGCAAAGGCAAAACCGCTGTCAGACTTCCGTAAAAGGAAAATCCTAGCAAAAGAGACGCAGGAATTGTCGAAGTGTCAGCTCACGCTGGAATTTGTCGGGGTGACTTCATAACGAACAAATTTCTCAAGGATGCTACAGGATATGATACTGGGAGGAACCCTGATTACTATCCGACCGAGATAAGCGCCGTATCGTGAGAAAATAATACGACTTTATCCAGCCGGGTACGGAAATCAAAACTTCTTCAAAAGTTAGTGTCTCAATGGAAGCAGTTTCACGTGTTTTACAACACGCTCGTGACAGTCCATGTCTGGAAGGATAAGAAATACGCTTTTTGTGAGAAGAAATCATAGAGAAAAACGAGCCATTTTTCTTAGAAAGTTTCGCCAAGTCGATTGAAGCGGTGACATTCTTTCATTTGTGATTTTTGATTTGCGTCTTTCTTTCTCTGAGCGTTTTCTTTCTCAGATCGGTATCTTTGCTTCGGCTGGATAAAGTTGTATTTTCATACGATACGGCGCTTATCTCGGTCGGATAGTAATCAGGGTTCCTTCCCAGTATCATATCCTGTAGCATCCTTGAGAAATTTGTTCGTTATGAAGTCACCCCGACAAATTCCAGCGTGAGCTGACACTTTGACAATTCCTGCGTCTCTTTTGCTAGGATTTTCCTTTTACGGAAGTTGACAGCGGTTTTGCCTTTGCTATAAGCTAAGGAACTTGAATGGGTAATAATTTCAAAATTTGATTGGGTAAAAGCAAAATGCAGCGGAGAAACATGAGGTGGAACTATGATTTTGCGTCATAGGCAAGCGGGTATTTTCGAAAAAATGAGGATAAAAATTGTTGCTTTCTCAAACTGGATTTCCGTGTTAATATTCAGATTCGCGTTTATATGTGTCACAATTTGTCTGTAGAGCCTTTTTCAAAAACATCCCAGATTCAAGTTTTTGGGAAATTTGTAGGTGGAACTATAATTATGCGTCGCAGTGTACTAGTTATAGCTATCACCTAAGCTACTTGGACCCGACTTGCCCTCGCAAATTTTGCCATTCGAGTCGACTTTGAGCCATCCGTTCTGGTCCGCTGCACGTCGTTTCCATTATTGGGCTGAAATTTTCACTAAGGCTGGTGTCAGAGTCCGGTTTCGCTGATTTTCGCGATTTGCGCGATTCACGCGATTCACGCGACGGGTCACGGAAATCACAAGTGCCCGATCAATACTGCAAGGTGTTCTCCAATCCGCCCACTTCTGCTTGATAGTGATGGCTGAATGACGACTGCTCATGATTCCACTTGTTTCATATTCAGTGTTTCAAATGTTCAAATGGGGCACTTGCAATTTTTGCGATCCGTCGCAGGTTTCGCAAATCGAAATCAGCGAAACTTGCGACGGATCGCGGACTCTGGCACCAGCCTAATGCACCAGCCCATCTCGTGTCCTCCTAACTCGTATGAATTCAAAGAAATTCAATTTGTGGCACGATACACCTAATAATGAAATAAAAGTTGTGAAAATCCTGAAATATAAAATTTAATTTTTTCGTCAGAACCTTGCTCACAGGGGTAATTTCAAGCCCTGATCACGAAGATGACATTCGATATTGGCGCTGACGAAACTAGGCGCCAGTTTACGGCAAGTTGTCATGACGCCTGTTGTTACCGAATCCAAGTAGACTTTGTAGGGTTATTTGATGTCATTATTACAAATGTGACATTCATTTATTTCACTTGCGCTGCTTAACGCATACTATAATGCTTGTTAGGCTCTCTCACTTATCGTATCTATGGCTGAGCTTCGCGATTTAATTAGTGGGCTGTTGTAGAGCGGAAAATAGGCGCTAAATGACAAAATGAATGTTATATTTGTAATAAGGATATCGAATAACCCATGGATACGGCGAGTTTGGTGAAAACTCCCGCCATGACAAAGTGATGGAACTGGCGCCAAATCACGCAAACGCCAAACAATGCCACTCTAATCAATGCATCTTCGTTTATTTATCTGGGCATAGCAAAATTTCGAAGAAAAAGAAAACGTTAAAAATTCGGGGTTTTATTAGCTGATTTGTGCAAAAATGCATATTATAGCATGAAAAAGGAAACTGGATGAGAATCAATGTTACAGCATAGAAATCGAGGGAAGTGGTGTAGAGGACTCAAACAACTGTTGTGGAGTTGAATATACAGGGGTGGCAAAAAAAGGGACACGTTGTCCATGGCGCACATCATCAAACTTTTCATCGCACAGGGTGCCGCTGTTGATGAAAGTTTACGGCAAAATATCCCTTAGATGTCCTCCATAAGTAGAAGCAGGCCCTCTTCCACTGCCCTCACCGTCCTCAAAATATGACGTCATCTTCCATCACCGTTGAGCTCAAGAAGGCCTAAAGTAATCGTTCCAGCTACGGAATTTCTTTAATCAATTCAGTGATGGATTGCTTTCCAGAGACAGTAACTCATATGCATATGCAAGACCCCCTCCGACCAGTGTTTGAGATAACGTCGTAAAGGTCCATAATCTGCCGAGGACTAAGTGAGCTTGAAGCGTGCCTCCCATCTTCTGATATCCTTGGTGCAGAAAGCTAGTATAACGTTTATTGATAGATTGGGATGTGCTTTCAATACTAAGTTGGGAGCAGTCGGTTTGAGTTTAGCAAAGTGTGATTAATGCTGTCTGAAATGTGGAGTCAAGTGTCCCTTTTTTGGCCACCCCTGTATGTGAGGAGTGTTGTACGGTTGTGCCATGCGTATGAGCTGATTGCATTGGGGGGGGGGGGTGGGTTGGGGAGGGGGAGGAGGTGTGAGCCAATTACCTTGATTAGAATTACTTTTCCAAATGTTTAAAAAAAAAGGAATGCTCGTTCGAATTTATACTTTGAGTACTCAGCACCACACCGCACACCCCACCGACCTAACGAGCAGATACTACCTGAAGCGCGTCAGCTTGTACCACAAAATTCGTATTTCGTAACTCAAAGCGGAACATTAACATGAAACATGCCAGGTTAATGAGCTTTCGGCGCGACGTGCGCTGCCCTGCACCCTCTTAGCGAAATATTGTTAACAACCAATGTGAAATGATGAGGTTTAGGGAGTATAACCAGTTCTGCGGAGGGAAGGGCCAGGGCGGTCGAAGCGAATGACATGCGTTTGAAGATAAAATATGTATGCTCACCCTACTCTTCGGATGAATAAATGAGTCCAAACTAAAGTTGTTGAATGCACTGTTGAACGTTGAGTAATTTTCAAGTCAAATGCTGTCCACGCAACATGTCTTGGAATAAGTAGCTGAAAATTCGAAAGGAATTTGCAGGAGAAGATGTTTGGAATGTTACGCAGCTATGTCTTAAGAACAAGGACCTCCTTGCGGCCTCAACACGCGCTGCGGTAGATGTAGAAAATTCTTTATTTTGACTGCTTCGGTAAAAAGCACAAATCATGTCATCCATAGAATCGTAATTCCTAACATTGTTGTATTTCATTGTTGTTTGCATTTATACTTTTGTTTTTATTTGCTTGTATAGTCCAAATAAAAGTCGCAATCGAATTCAACCAAAAATTTGGTGAGATTTAGAAAAGCTTCCCTTGATTGAAGCATATTTAAATCTCTCCATGTTCCATGCCGCTTATATGTAGGCATGGTAACGTATTGTTCATAAAATGGAAACAAAAAAAATTCGGATGGTAAACATGTGCGGAAAAAACTGTATCAAAGGGAGACGCGCATGCGCGTGAGCCTGTCGTCAATGTGTTACATCACTGTGTCCCTCGGGAAACCCTGGACCGAAGGGCAATCCGCAGGGTTTGGTTTCAGAGTGAACCTCAAAAAGTGAAGGTGAAATTGCTATCACTGAACGAGTGAGCCGCTTTCTGCATATTTGCTCACTCTTATTTGCAGGAAAAATCTAAAATCACCTCTATAGAATTCCATAGTTGCACTGCTAATGAGAAACGAGAAAATGGAAATAACGATGATTTCGCCCTTCCCAGACGACTGATGCTTTATAACTCTCTAAAAGTGTTGTGTTCTTAGTCAATTACCAACCGCTAACCGGAGCCGCATGCGTTGCGCGTACAGTACAGCTCTGCGGCGATATGGGGCGGTGGGGCGTATTTTCTCAACT